ACCCCGTGGCCCCCCTGGGGACGTGTGGTCTGAGGACGCGGTGGCCTGACCTGGGGACCCCGTGGCCCCCCTGGGGACGTGTGGCCTGAGGACGCCGTGACCTGACCTGGGGACCCCGTGGCCCCCCTGGGGATGTGTGGCCTGAGGACGCAGTGGCCTGCCCTAGGGGCCCCCTGGGCCCCCCGGAGACGCCGCCTTTCTTGCCTCCTTGCAGGCCTGGACATCGAGTTCACTGGGCTCCGTTCTCACGTGTCCCAGCCGCAGCAGATCAGGTAAAGTCGGCAGAGCTGCCGAGGGCTGAGCTGGAGGCTTCGTGCCTGGGGCTCCCCGCAGGGCCTCCGCTGTCCCCTCCTTCCAGCAGGCACCGCTCGGGCATGGGGTGGGGAGGCTTCCTGTGGGGTGCTCACATCTGGGGACCCGGCCTGTGCCCCTGCCTGTGGGAGATGCCCCCAGCACGGAAGGAACCCACTGCCCAGCGGAGGGCCCGGGGGAGGGCCGGCCAGCAGAGGCGGGAGCCGCGGCCTGTGGTGTGGACGGGCAGCTGATGCTTCTTCCAGCCTCTTCGACCTGCCTTCCGAGTGGTACCTGAAGACTCGGCACAGCATCCAGCAGTTCACCATCTGCCAGATCGGTGAGTGCGGCCGCTGCCTTGCCGGAGGTTTCCTCGGGGTCTCCGTTCCCGTTTTCCACAGTCATTTTCCTGCTCGTTGGGTTTTCGACCTGTGATGCCCCTGGACCTGGCCCCCGGGCGCTTTGTTAGCAGCTGTGTCAGGCCTGATGCGCAGCTCCAGGAATCCGAGCCCAGTTCCCCGGGAAGGGCGTGCTTGCGCTTCACGAAGGCAGTCAAACCGGGTCCCAGTACAGGCGTGTTCTTCATTTCCCCCCCGCGAGTGTTCTTTAGCGCTCCTCCTGCACCCGCACGTACAGATCTCGTGATTTCCTCCAGACAGTTGCGTACTGCTCCAAGCCAAAGGCACCTGCCCCTCCCACCAGCGCATACTCTGCTGCTGTGGGTAGTAAGAGGAGGGTGCCCCGGCTCGGGTGGCGGGTAACTGTGCTCTTGTGAGGAGGTATGTTTGATGCCCTCTGGCCCCGGGACTGCAGGGTCAGTGTGTGCCTGTCGGCCTGGGTCGTGAGCCGGACGCCTCTCCCCGCCCACCCCCGTGGTCCGCGCCCGCGTTACTGCGGACGTGGCTGCTCCCTCACTCCCGGGCGTTTCGGCCTCACGTCTGCTGCCCACCTCGTAGAGGAACATGCTCTGTTGTTCTGATTTATACTTCCTAACACAGGGTCGAAGGTCAAGGGCTAGATAGTAAATATTTTAGCTTTTGCGGCCACACGGTCTCCGCTGCAGCTTCTCGATGCCGCTGTCATTAGGGGAGCGCAGAGCTTGCCCGCCGCCCAGCAAACGCAGCTTCCAGAACAGGCTGAGCGCGCCAGTGCTCTCCCTCTTGTCCTCGGCTCTTTCCCCGTTGTTCTCGCTGTCGTCATTGTAAGGCCTCCCTGCACGTGCTGGACAGCACTGAGGTGTGTGTCCCTCCTTGGGCGCACACCCAGTGGGTGCTCTCACGACCACATCTTAAAGTAGTGAAGCGTGTATTTTTTGGCTTTTAGTGTGTTTGAATTTTTTTTTAATTCTTACAGAACTGGGGTACAGTCAGAGGTGTGGTGGGGTGAGAGGCTTCACCAGAGACAGAGCGGGGAGCAGAACAGGCAGATCGATGAAGTCCACTGCTGAGGGGAGCAGCAGGCAGGACAGGAGAGGTCTGCCGCGCCCAGGGGGTCACTCCCTGGCCGGGGATCGAACTCATGCTGCAGTGGCTTCGGACAGCTTCATAATGCGGTGCTCTAACCTGTTGCGCCACCAGGGCGAACCCTGTTTGATGAATTTTAAAGCTATAAAAATGTCCACTTAATACTTCTGGTCGTCCGCGGGTGGAGTCTCAGCACTGATGCTGTCCCCAGCCACTGCAGCACGGGTTCCCCTGTTCTGCTGCCCACCCCGTCTCTGGGGAGTCCTCTCACCCTCCCACCTCTGGCCTGTGCCCCAGTTCGTACATGTATAAATAAAGTTTTTTAAAAAGTATTATTTGCTTTCGTGTTTGCAGAACCACCTACCATTATTTTTTATTTACTCTAGTGTGAGTTACCGGCAGACGCTTCTCAAGTTTCCTATCTGCCCTGTCTTTTATTGAAGTGCTCAGGGCACCGCGGGGCCTGGGCATGCAGAGTACTTCAAAGTACTTTTCAGAGTGTTTTGTCTTTGTAGCTCTGGTGACTTTTTTTTTTTTTAAAGATGTCATTTTATTATTTATGTACACAAGAGCTGGGGTAAAGGCCAGAGGTGTGGGGGGTGAGAAGATTCACCAGACACAGAGTGGGGAGCAGAACAGGCTGACTGAGGAAGCACACTGCTGAGGGGTGCAGCGGGGAGACAGGAGGGGTCTGCTGCACCCTGGGGGTCCCTCCCTGGCGGGGGATGGAACTCGGCTGTGAGCCTGGCAGCGCCGAGGCTCACCCCTTGCCCTGCTGCTGTTCTCCGGTGTTCACTGCTCCCGTCCTCTCTAGGGCTGTCGGTGTTCTCCAGCATCGAAGGCGAGACGAACAAGTACGTGGACCCGCCTTTTCAGAACAGGCTCTGCCATTCATGTCCTCTGCCTGCCCCCTGCTATTGTGCTTCGAGCCTGATCCCTTTGGCTCCTCTGTGGATCCCGCTCCTCCTCCTAGTCTCTGGACACAGCACCTCAGGGGGCTTGCAGACACCCCTGTCGCGCCCCTTGGGGCGCCCTTCCCCATTCTGCTGGCTCCTGTTGTGCCTTCAGGCTAGTTACAGTGAGGGTGAGGGTCAACGAGGATGCTGATGGGCCCCCAGGGTCTGTGTATGTCCCCAGGCTCTCTGCCCTGCCACCCTCCTCTCCCCAGTGCCAGTCATGGCTCCGAGGCAGAGCGACGCTGAGCCGTGTCTCGCTGCTCTGAAGCCGCCCTCAGACCGGAGGTCACATGCGTGGGGCGGTGGCCTTTCTCCTGGTGTTCTGGTTTGTTGTAGGTATGTGGCTCATTCCTGCAACTTCTTTCTCTTCCCGACGACATTTGGGACTCTGGATTCGGAGTTCTCCTTCCAGGCCTCCAGCGTCCAGTTCCTGAATCAGTACGGCTTCGACTACAACAAGGTAGGCAGGAGGCCCCGCCGGCCCGCCTCCCCCCCACACCCCCCTCCGGGGTGGACCCTGGCTGGCCAGGTGCCCGGCAGCCCCCTCCCGGCGTGGAAGGTGCCCTGACTCGGCTCGTGGTCCGCCCCGCCTCTAGTTTCTCAAGAAGGGCATCCCGTACATGAACGAGGAGCAGGAGAGGAAGATGAAGCAGAGCATCCTGACCGGGAACTGGCGGGGGCGCAGGTGAGCCGCCTGCGGGCCTTTCCAGGTGCATGTGCCGCCCCGTGGCCAGGCCTCGGCTGTCGCCCTCAGCTGCGACGCTGGCTCAGCTGGACGCCATGAGGAGAAGCCTGAGAAGACCTCGCTGCTCGAGCGAGAGGGGAAGCGGGGACCGAACTCGTCACGCCAGGTGGCCTCAGCGGAGCGGGAGCAGCCTGCAGAGGGGCAGGCCTGTGGGGTCCCTGACTGCCGCGGGGCCTTCGCGGGGCCTCAGGGCTGACTCTGGGGTCACGTGCCCGGGCTCTGTCCAGCCTGCTGTGTCCCCCAGGGCAGGGTCCGGGCTGCCTGAAGCCTGGCTCTACTGGAGCAGGGCCCTGGGGTGGGGCCGAGTGGCAGGAGTGGCCCAGGCCGCCCCGGTCGGCCGACTCTGGCTGTGGACACAACGGTTGAGCCTTTTGGGCCGCAGATTCTCGGCCTTTGCCAGGCAGGCGGAAAAGTAGGCAGCTTTTAACTCTAGAATGTTGGTCAATGAGCCATTCCGGATAATCATTACCTGGCCTGGATAATCATCTTCTGTGATGTTGACGATTTTATTTCCCCTAAAGATTATCTGATCATAAAGATTATCTGATAAATATGTAGCTTTTTTTTAAAGAAATTTTTTTTTACTTGTGCATATAAGAACTAGGGTGTAGGCCAGAGGCTGGGGGGGTCAGAAGATTCACCAGACATGGGGTGGATGTCTTGCTGAGGTCACCATGTTAGAGCTGGAGGCCTCAGACCCCCTTGTGTGACTTGGGGTCCCGGTGGTTTCCCCTGATCCTCGCTGTTCTCTCCCTTTTTTTTTCAGTTCTCTGGATAAAGACCAAATCAAGGTGGTGATCGACGAGGTGACGCGGTGGCTGGACCTGGCGGAGGAAGGCGACTGGATGACCCTGCCGGGGGTCTCGGGTACGCAGGGGGAGGGGGTACCTGCTTGCGCACTTGGGGGTGCCCCTCTCCTTCCGGTCCAGGCCTTGCTCACGTGCTGTGTGTGGCTGCAGAGAGGCCTGACCGCAGTCAGTCAGGATGAGGGTGCGCCGGGCACCCCCGCCAGTGCTTGTCCCCGGGAGCCGCCCTGTGCAGGCAGGGGGCTGGGCCTACCCGGCTCTGGAAAGAGCTGAATGTAGTTACTTGGGCCTGCAGCTCTTCAGCCATTTTCTCAAGTGAGAAAAGTCAGCCTGTCCCTTCAAGGAGAATAACTGAGTGTCTGCTTGTGACACAATTCAGGCTTCCATTCGAATCTTGACATTCTGTCGACTGGCTTCCTGCCATGGCTGTCAGCTTTCCCGGACCGCGGCCTGGCCACGCAGCCAGTGGTACGAACGCATTCGTTCAAATTGTGCGGCGAAGCGTGCCGCCGTTGGGAAGACCACCCAGACGGTGCTTCCCAAACAACCAGGTGTGAGGTCGCGCAAGGCGCAGGAGCGGCGCCGGCCGTGGCCCAGCTGAGAGAGTGCGTCGGTGTTGGCTTCCGAGTCCACACCGGGCCCTGCGTGCGGCGGGATTTTCCTGTCTGCAGCAATGACAAAGCAGAACTGACCGAATGGGGCAGCTAGGCGTCAGCCCAGACATCACGGGCAGTTGCAGCAATGTAAAGTAACATCGCCCTTTTCACTAAATTTTGTTTTGGAAACTTATTTTTCCCTGTGTGTGAGTGATGGGTTTAGTTTCAAAGTAAAATTGTCAGTGTATACCTGCCATTTCTAAGCTGTGGGGTCAGCAGCTGGGGTCCCCCACTTACGAGCGGCTCCGGGGCAAAGCTGCGGGTGTTCCAGTGCGGGCTCCCGGCAGGTGGCTTGAGGCACAGGTGCAGGCCACCCCCGCGCCCGCCCCGCTGGAGGGGAAGGTGATTCTGTGTGGACCTGTCTTCTGCGCAGGCTTCCAGGCCTTTGAGGTCCAGCTGGTGCTGAGGCAGGCTCTCCCCGAGATCTGGACAGTGCTCAAAGACAAAGGGGTGAGTCCTCGCCGGGGAGGGGCGCCCCGCCGCCCTGGTTCCCACTCCCTGGGCCCCACCTTGGAGGCGAAGAGCCATTGTCCGGCTCCGGGGTCTGCCCCCGCGCAGGTGGTCGTGAAGAAGGTGAGCAGGCAGCACCGCTGGTACCTGGAACACGCCTCCTGCGACCGCGAGAGCTGCTGGAAGGAGAAGATCCTTCTGTCTGCCAGGGGCTTCTCCGTGTTTTTCCAGATGCTGGTGAAAGCCCAGAAGGTGGGGAAGCCGCGCCTCTTCCCCAACTCATTGGTCCTTTGTGTTTCTGTACATGCCGATGCGACCCCCAGGGGTGGAATCAGATTCCTGGAGATGAGGGGGCCCTTTCTGCCCCCCCTCTCACCACGAGAGGGGGCGCCGTAGGAAACGGCACCGTCCCTGCCCCTGTCGGGCCCGCGCAGGTCAACACCAGGGGCCCAGAGCCCAGGGAGGCGGCAGCCCCGCCTCGAGCGCCTGGGCTTGAACCTGCGGCCGGGCCCCGGGTCACGG